TCTAGTAACCTAAGCCCACGCCCACTAGTAACCCAAACACACGCCAAACCCACACCCTCCTACTACTAACCCAAACCCACACCCACTAGTAGCCCAAACCCACACCCGCTAGTAACCCAAACCCACGCCCACTAGTAACCCAAACCCACGCCCACGAGTAACCCAAACCCACGCCCACTAGTAACCGAAACCCATGCCTACTAGTAACCCAAACTCACCCCCACTAGTAACCGAAGCCCACGCCCACTAGTAACCCTAATATACGCCCTCTAGTAACCCAAACCCACGCCCTCTGGTAACCCAAACCCACACTCACTTGTAACCCAAACCTACGCCAAACCCACGCCCACTACTAACCCCAACCCATGCCCACGACTAACCCAAACCCACGCCCACTTGTAACCTAAACCCACGCCCACTAGTAACCCAAACCCACACCAAACCCACGCCCAATAGTAACCCAAGCATACGCTCACTAGTGGGCGTGGGTTTGAGTTACTAGTGGGCGTGGCCACTAGAAACCAAAACCCACGCCCACTAGTAGCCCAAACCCATGCCCACTAGTAACCGAAATCCACACCCACTAGTGACCCGAACCCACGCCCAGCAGTAACCCAAACCCACGCCCACTAGTAACCCAAACCCACGCCTAACCCACGCCAAACCCACGCCCACTAGTAACTCAAACCCACGCCCACTGGTAAGCCAAACCCACGCTCACTTGTAACCCAAACCCATGCCCAGGAGTAACCCAAAACCAAACCCCCGCCCACTGGTAACCCAAACCCAAACCCACGCCGACTATTAACCCAAACCCATGCTTACTAGTAAGCGAAACCCACGCCCACTAGTATTCCAAGCCAACTTGTAACCTAAACCCACGCCGACTAGTAACCCAAACCCTCGTCCACTAGTACCCCAAACCCATGTCAAACCCACGCCCACTTGAAACCCAAACGCACACGCACTAGTAACCCAAACCTACACCGACAAGTAACCCAAAACCACACCCACTAGTGACGCCGAACCTCGACAAACCCACACCCACTAGTAACCTAAACCCTCGCCCACTAATAACCCAAACCCCCTACACTAGTAACCCAAACCCACGCCAAACCCACGCCCACTAGTAACCCAAACCCACGCCCACTAGTAACCTAAACCCATGGTCGCTAGGGTTTAATGGCTCGGGGGAGCTCCATCCTCCATTTTGGCCTTCCCTTTCCCTTTCGCGCCTGTCAGCGATAAGGTGGGTGCAGGCCTGGGTCTAAACAACTTTAACCTAGCACTTGCCACTGGGTCCTTCCACTGTGATCCGTTTAATTTCGCTATCATATTTGCACCCCAGTCTAGTGCCTCAACCACTATGTAAGGTCCCATCCAAAGATAAAACTCGAATTATTTTTTCATTTAATACAAACCATAACTCTTCTGATGGTTTCTCTAAAGAGAAAGGTTGTATTTKATCTGAATCTTTTATGATCTTAGAAATATCTTCATTTTTTTGAAATTTGAATATTGTCTTAGGATCTATATAGTCCCTTTCCACTGCCAGACGATGTGCCGCTGTCATAAGGTTGTCTTTCAAGCCGTAGGCTGTCTGTCTTGTTTGGGCAGCTATGAGCTCCTCTCGCGACATCTCCTCTGCCCAGTCAATGGTCGTCCAGCTGTGGATGTGAAATTGTATGGGGAGCGGACAATGTCGCCCAAACCACAAGGTGTAGGGTGGGTACCCAGTGCTAGCCCGGACCGTGACGTTGTCCGCCCATATCGCATATGGAAAATACCGTGGCCAATCATTGTCCTTACCTTTGCGCCACTTGGATAGTGACGCTATCAGAGTCTGATGCCCCCTCTCTACTGGGGAGTTCGACTGTGGGTGGTAGGCGGCAGGGTTGTCGAGCCCCGGTCCTGGGGCCCCGGCGGGGGTCCGGGGGTCCGGGGGTGGGCACCCCCAACCCCGGCTCCAGATCCCCCCTCCCAAAAAAAAAAAAAAAAAAATTCATAAAAAAATCAAAAAAAACAAAGACATAGTGGGGGGGTGCGCAGCGAGAGCACGCTCCATATGGGCTAAACCCCAAAAATAAGGTTTTATGCCCCACCCCGGACCCCCCCCGGGGCCACACCCACCACTCGTGGGACCGGGGTCGCTGGTGGTGCGGGGCCGGGGGCGGGACCAACAGCCGGCGGGGGCGGGGTTGAGTGTTAGCGGGGGCGGGGGTGC